CCCATCCACTTTTTCCTTCAGTGTTTTTCATGCATTAGACCTTTTTTAAACCCGCTCTGTCCTTTTTTTTTCTGGCAGTTTGCCGTGGCATTTGGGTCTTTAGTTCCCCTATTTTTTAATTTTGGGGGGGCATTTTTATGTAATGAAATGCGATCAAACAGTATTGTATTCCTTAATAGTATTTCAGACCCTGATATTACTGGATACTTCCACTATGAGATAATTGCAATAACAGTGGTTTAATTTGGTTCGCTGTATTATCATGACCTACATTTTATACTATAACTTTACTTTTATTAGCTCATTTATTTTGTGTCTGTGAAAAGGCTATTAAGTTGCCTTAAAAGTCTTGACTAGAGGTTTTTATAGGTGACTTTTTGGTATAGTTGTCAAAGTATTTGTTATGAGGTTACCCTGATCAGATTTACGGAAAACCACATCACTAATTTTCCTTGTGTAACTCTTAGAATAAACTCGGCATATTTTCAGAGATTTTCCTTCTACGTTCGAATATCTTGGTCATCGATTTGGCCGGGCTCAACCCTCTTTACCTAGTATCGGCAGGTAGGGACGGATTACTCCCGCCCCCTTGCTTTCACGTTGTCCCCCTCCCTCCTGACTAACCCTTTCTCTGACCACCCTAGTTTCTGATACCCCAAGCTTTTGGTCACCCTGGGTCGGTTTTATCCAGAAAATTTGGGGAAAACTTTTGGTGAACGGGTATTATTGGTTGGGCGCAAAGAATATTTATATCTACCGTATGCTTTGAACTTTAACTGTACTGAGCACTGTACTAAATATCAACATATTATGTATGGATGGTACCAAGTTCCTTTTTTTTTTAATGGCTACGAATAAAATGGAATATAAGGATTAAGGACTACTGCTGTTGTATTTTGCCTTGTGCTTTCATTTTTCTCCTGATGTTTTTTTTTTTCCTGTTTCAATGCTTTTCATAATGACTTGGTGGGTGTTTGGCATGTGCTCTGGTATGGTTTGCTCCTTCTTTCCTCTCGAACATCTATCGTCCTTATCTCTCATCCTTTTTTGTGTGTATGTTACTCTCTTGTAACACATCTAATCTTCGGCGCTTATATGACATTGTTGTGTTGCAAGTACCATAAAACTCTTACTAAAACTAAATAATGACTTGGGGATCTAATCTCTTTTGAAATTATTACAGCTGAATATGGTTGGGTGTGGTCTGCTCTTTTTGTTTTTGTAAGGGTTTTTGTTTTTTTGTCTCAACACTGCCCTGACCTGCTACATGACAAGATGTCTATGTTTTCGAGCTAACTTACCATAAACCACAACATCAAGTCAGTTTTCTTTATCCACGGTGTTTGCATTTGCTTTCACAAGAACTGCTCTCTCCCAGCTGTTGTAAAACCAAAAAAAATAATTTTTGTTTGCTTTTGCCAGAAGCAGTAGAAAATAAAATATTGATATTGTCATTCGGGGGGGGGTGGGGGGGGGGGGGGGGTTAGCTTGAATGCTGAAAGATGTAACGTATGATGTTATGTCAAGTCTAGCAGCAAATTGAATGTAGGACGGGGTGGCTTTTAATGCTATAATTCAGTCCTTACAGATCAAATATCAGAGGCTTTATGAATGCTGTTTTGAATTATATATGTTGGTAAGAGGATGGTTATTCAGTCCAACCCTTAAAGTCAAGAGAGATGGACTTTTCCAACAGGGTGGGAGTGTAGAAGATAATCCACCATATGACCTAAAATCGTGAGTGGTTGGTCGGTCTTCTTATGTAGTTTGCTCCCTTCTTTGTTATAAAACATCGGTTTTCCTATCTCTCCATCCTCCTTTTGTGTGTATGTTACTCTCCTGTATCACATCTAATCTTTGGCACTTATGTATTTGCCCTTATTCTGTTGCAAGTATTGTTAAACTCTTACAGAACTAATGAGATGAAAAATTGTCAACTGTATCTGTTGTTGAATGAGGTTATTTTTAAATATATTTTTTTGCTAAGTGTTTTACAGCACTCGCAACTGCAGAAAGTCAAATGAGCGCACGGGACACATTTAACTGTTTCAATTGGTTGGAAATTTTGAATTTTGCCTAGTTGGCAGCCGAAGCCTACTCTTATCGATTTTAGACCACCCAGGGATCTTTAACATGCGCAACTTGC